TACTAAATAACTAATAATAGAAATAATAAAATAATATAATACTATAAAATAATAATCTAAAAATAGTACTATCAACATTCATAACAATACATATAATTTCTAAAAAACTAATAAGATTATATATATTATTATTTTTAATAGTGTTTTAAACATTATATGAATTCATATAAGTTTGTTTAATTTCAATTTTCAAAACTATACTTATATTTTATAATTTTCAAATAAAACTGAACTAATAAAATTTTATACTTTATAATATTAATAATGTTTTGTATATTAATTTTAATTCAAATTTTTAAGATTGAATTAATAATATTAAGTTAATATAAAAATTTAATTAATATAATCTAATATAGTATAAAATAGTTTATAAATAATAATTTCTATAATACAAGAAATAATTATATAAACAAGACCTAATTAATTGGTTAAATAAAAAATAAAATAATAAATATTATTATTTAATTATTATTTAATTATTACTTAATAATTAAATAATAGTAACAGAATAGTTACAATAGTATTAATTATTATATTATTATATTTATTTATTTATTTATTTAAACAAGTAGCTTATATTTTGTTTATTAAAAATTATATTGTATATTTAAAATAAGCAAATTAAAAAATAAATTAATTTTTAATTATTTATTTTAACTTATTCTATATAAGAAATATATTATTATTTGAAATTTTTTTTAAAAAATATACAATAATCATAAATATATATAAGTTTCTAAAAATATAAAAAAATAAATTTAATATATAAATATAATACAAGAAAATTTTTTTGAATAAAAAATAAAAAATAGATTAAATATATATATATATTAAATTATAAAAGATTAAAATATAATGGTTTGATTTGATAAAATCAAATTTCAACTTTTAAAGTTAAAAAAAATAAATATTGCTAGAAAAAAATTATAAAATCCTTAAAGAATTAACATATAATTTCTACAACCAAATTTAATAAAAATAGTATTAATATATAAGGATTTTTTATTTACTATAATACAGAATATTTATTAAAAATTAAAAAAAACCTAATAGTTTATAAAGAAATTTTTAAAAAAAAATCCATATATTTAATAAAGATTTTAAATATAAGGCAAAAATAGTTTAAAAATAATTAAAATTAATAAAATTAATACTATTTCTTGATTATCACAATTTTCAGATTTAAATCCAATAGAAAATATCTGGAATAGTATGACAAAAAGAATTAATAATCTAGCAATTGATATTAAGTATAAAAAAATTTCTAGAATAATTTATCAAAGATTAAGAATGAAACATTTGAAAAAACTTATAAAGAATATATAAAAACAATGTGTAAGAAATTAATGATATTATTAAGGCAAAGGGTGATATTATTAAGGCAAAGGGTGATTATTCAATGTGGTAATAGAAATTAACTACATTATATATTTTTTTATATTTTTTTAAAAAAAAAATTAAAATCACGATAAATTTTTAAATTTTTACCATAAAAATTTTTTTATTAATTTGATTATTTTTAATTTATATACTAATTATGTTATCTTATACACTATAAATTTCGTAATCTGATTTAATCTGCTTAAAATTTTAGCAAATTAAAGATCGACGATCAAGTGTTGCGTTCTTTTTGGGAGACGGTGTAAAAGCATGTAAGTTAGGTAAGCCTTACCATTCAAGAAGAAACAGAAAAGGAAATCACGAGCTATATCCATGGATGCCAATGGGCTAAAGTTTTTTCGCCGTTGTTACGGAGGATTTTCCATACTGTAAGAAGTGATAATTTAAATCATTTCATCATGCTCCCATATAATGTGTTGAGTCAAATTCTGTAGCCCCAATGGACTTTTTATATATTATCATCCTGATATGAGACGGCATCGTTTTTGTCACTTCTCTTTGAATTTGACGGTTTTGATCAACATTTGTGGTATAAATTCCATCTTTGTGCGCTTCGTTCTCAATTTCTCCACTAAAAGTAAGACTTACAAGGCAATTACTGATACTATTTGGTTGGACCAAGTTTTTCATTGCTGTCTATTTGTAAACCGCTATAATAGAAGTAAAATAAAGTACCGGAAAACTTCATTTGTCCATAATAGTAATGGTCGCGCGTCCTCACTGAATGGTTCTTTTACTTTTACAATGCACTTTCAATATCTCACTGAACAAATCGTGAAGATACTCTTTAATATCTTTAGGAATATCAATTTCAACAGTAGTGTTACGAATAATATTCTCAAACTGATCCTCCGCATCCAGCTCCAACAATTTTCTAAATGATCCACATAGCATATACTGTATATATTGCGTTTTCTCATAGATTGGCAAAGTTCATCAGTCTTAATCTTTTTCTTTGCAACCTATATAATAGAATACTAGAATGTGGAGTAAAAGAATGAATCACCTAATATTTCTCATACCTCAATTTCTGATGTTTTCTAATTGATCTTGTACAATGTCGGTAGTTACTTTGTTCTAAGCACGAAACATATGATGACTTAATTGTTACCTAAAGCAACATTGAAAAATCGTTCGTGACTTCACCTTTTTCGTCAGGGTCGTAGCTCCTTTATCTACATCTCGACCGAAACCATACGTCGACTGTCGAGGTTCTGGGTTGCAAAATCTCTGGCCACACCATTCCTTAACAATATAGAATACTATAATAAGAAAAAAAAAACATCAAGCTAAAAGCTATCCTTCAGACTAAGAGTCCCAACTTGCACTAAGCGTCGAACTAAGAATTCATCACTGGAGACTAAGAGTCCCAGCTTGCACTAAGCGTCGAACTAAGAGTTCATTATTGTTGGACTAAGCTTTTAGCTCGTTCATTTATATACATTTCAATTATCAAGATTTTCTTGAGATTTTCTTCTACGTGTCTCGTCAAACTCAGAAGCCAAATTGATATTCCTTTGAAGATCCTTTTTATGTAACCTAGTACTTTCTTCTTTTCCCATTCTTTTTGCCCCAATTTCGTACGATAATGATTTACTACATTGACACGCGTCCAGGCCGGTGACGTGATAAAGAGTTGATAGTTCCGAAATTGAGAATGATGATCAAATAAGGTTAAATTTGTATCACGTGACATGATTTTGCTTACTAATAGACACGCTCAAAGTAACGGTCCGTAAAATGGACCTAGTATATTAATAATGGCGAAGAGTATATATTGATACTACCTAGCGAGAATTTCGTTATAAGATCGCTCGTTAAACTATAAATACATTATCCTATCAAGATTCTGTAATGTAGCTTTTTATGTATAAGAATAAGACATCTTTAAAAGTTTCATATGCATTTTTAATATTGTGCCTAAAAGTATTATGGAATTTATAAAAAATCATAAAAATAAAAATATTTATAAGAGAGTAAAATAAAATTTAAATCGTAAATTATAATAAATCAAGTTTATTTATTTCCAAATAAATATTATTTTTAATGATTTATTTTTAACGTACAAAATTTTTTTAAAAATTTAAATTTAAATTATCGTACATATATACGTAATTAAAATTTTCAAAAAGATGAAAATAGAAAAATTTATTTTCAAATTTAAATCATACATTATATATATATATATATATTGATTTATATATACACATTTCTAATTATAAATTATTGGAATTTATTATATGATAAATAATAACAAAAAAAAATAATGATTTTTAAAATTTAAATAAAAAAAATCTTAAAGATAAAAAACCAATATTTAATATATTTGCCATTAACATTAATAATATCTTTAATATGTTTTAAAATATTTAAAATTAAATGATATAAAGTTTCTATAGAAATATTTGTTTAATTTTCTTGTGCAACTCAAAGTAAATCTTGTTTTGATAATTAAAACGGTTTTATAAATATTTAATTGAATTTAAGCTTAGATTTTTTCAAATCTAAAATAGTATATGTTATTGTTTACCAATTTACACAAGAAAATATGTGAAATGATATCTAGTTTTGTTAAAATACTTTATTTAAATCATAATAAACATATAATATTAAATAATTTGTAAAAATATTAATATATATATTAGAATTTAAAAAAATTTCAAATTATAACTATCAGCTTAATATAATATAATTTTTATTATAAATCTCTTTTATTTTTATTTTATATTTTTATTTATTTGTTAAATTTAAATAAAAAAAATTTTAATTTATCAAATCAATTTAAATTATATTTGATTTGATATTATTTTAATCAAGAAATATGTTGCTTATTATTTAGAAAAAGTTTTTCATATGTAATGTAATCTTTAAAATCTACATTTAGAAAAGGTTTTAAATTAATAGTATTATATGTAATTGTAGAAGAAATATTTAATGCAGCTAATATTTTTAAACTATTTAAACTCATAAAATCAATATTAATTGTTTGATCTCTTTTTGGTTATTATTTTACAAGAAAAATTGTTAATTGTACTTGTATTAAAATAAACATTTATTTTTTTTGATTAATCATATACAGTATATATTTTTGATTAATCATATACTGTATCTATTGTTGATTTCCAGTAATTTATGTTAAGAGTGTATATGATGATTTATGCATATATTTTTAAAAGGACTTTATAAAATTATCATCATCTTATTTACTTTACCTATATGTTTTTTTTAATATCGTTTTAAACATTATAGATAGTGTAGATTTATTAATACAATACTTTTCTTTAAACAAACATACTAGTTTCATGTATTGTCGATTTTGTAAAATAACTAGTAAAAATCGAGTTAAATTGCATGGGATAAGACATTCGTGCTCCATACTGAATATCCGAAACCTATTGTCCTTGCCAAATCCATTTAGCAAGCTCGTATGCGAATCTGAAAAATCGATTCTTCACAACCTTCTCGAAATCTCCTCGGCACGATCGTTCCAAAATGGAAGTGAAGCACCTGTGTTTCCAGTTGAGACGTTTCTGATGAGTGAATGAGGTACTTGCATTGCCTGTCAAGGTCTTCTTTCTGTTACCGAGCTAACCCTTGCGTAATGGATCTTTTCTTTTCATCTATCCTTTCTTGATAAAATTTCATGTTTTTCTGATCTCTTTGTGCATCACGATACTTTATTGTTGACATTATCTTGCTCAAACATACGAAACGGGCCTTATTTATACATTATAAGGAATGCCAATATAAAAAATAACAATCAGTAAAATAAATGGCAAAAATAATCGATTTCATCATTACATGCCATATATGCGCGTATAGTTTAAAATTGGAAAAGGTTTGATGAGTAGTAATTGTTGTAGATTTTTATCTTGAAACACTGTTACAAAAAAAAAAAGTTAAAATTTTTAGATATTGTATGCGCACGCACGTATAATTTCTTGGGATTTGTACCACCAGGTTTGATCGCACCAAACTGTCGTGCCAATTCAAAATTTTAAATAATTATGAAGTTATTAAATCATATACAATATGTTTTCAAAAGAAACCCCGAAACCCCCGATGCATTCTAATCGCCGGTTGCACATCCTAAAACAATAGTATTTGGCAAGGTTTACACCTGTCGGTTCATAATTCGATTACCACCAACTGCCTTGGTTCAAGACTCGGATTTCGTTTTGCTCATCATCTCTCGAAATAAGTCTACCGGTCAATTACCGACATTTTTTGTTGTTCAGATCACATGCAATTCAATTACATAAGAGAAATAGAAAAAAAAACAATTAAACTAATTGTTCGGTGCTCGTCTTTTTGTTCAGAACCAAACTTAATTCGTACTATAGCGGGATACATTCAAAAACAAAAAGAAATGGAACTAAAGACCGAAGATAAAAAAAAAAAGAGACAAAAACGTACCATATCGTATCATCATCATATACTCATTGTTTTTTCATTGTGAATAGTTGTTAAGAGTGAGTGCAAAAGTCGGAATCCCGTGGCATAACATTAGATGAAACTTGATTCCACTATTGTAGTCGTAACAAAGGAAGCCAAGACATCCGTTTCATCTCTCAAATAGGAAATCCATCAACTCATCATCTTGTTGCCTTTGTTGGTTCGAGGCCTATCACCTGCTCGCGCTCACCTTTCGAGTCTTTGTCGGGGTACATTGTGTCTGGCTTATTGTAACAAAAATAAAAAAAAAGGTGACGCAATCCACTAAAAAAAAGTAACAAAAATGTGGTTGTCCTTAACGGGAATTTTATTGCACCTTCTTCATTAGTGCAACCTTACGGATGTAAATCAATCAACTTTGTTCATTTATTATATTAAGAGTTACAGTAATCAACTGTTTGTTCAAAAAAAAATTAAATAATTCGAATTCCATGGACCTTTTGTCGAAAGCACAATTAAATATCCAGTATAAACATCGCCGTGTAATGTTAAATACCGTCCAATCGAGTCGTTGGAGTTTCCCGTTGTATAATCATACAATAAAAAAAGAAATGTCTTATGTTAAACATTTTGCTGCATCCAATTGATTACAGATTTCCTTAGTTGGCACAATCTTTTCTATGAAAGTTTTAAAAACCCTTCAAACACTCGTACATTGCCTTACACACCCTCCGTCTCTTGCAAACTTATTCAAAGACTTAAATTTATCACTACCTTTTTTACTTCGGGAAATTTTTCCTTCTTTCCTGCAAAGGCCCATCATTCTCTACTCGGACTTACTACTATCGTCGTTTCTACTACGCCTTTGCTATTCTCTTTTATTTATACACAGTATATATATATATATAGTTTACCTTGAAAAAAATTTTGCATTTAGACTTGAAAAAGGTTGTTACTAGTGCTTGTCACTATCTATCCACCCTCTTTTCTTCTTTTTTGTTAATACAAATAATATAAAAATGGGTTGCTGTATGAGTCAAGAGGAGCAAGAAGGAAGAAGAAAGAATGAGGAAATTGAGAACCAGCTAAAAAAGGATAAAATGTCAATGCGCAATGAAATAAAAATGCTCTTGTTAGGTATGAGGTTTTTGAAGATGGGGGATGAAGCGTCGAGAATTCGACCGTGTCATGAGATAGTATTAACCATGAATGTAATGTTTAGGTGCTGGTGAATCCGGAAAATCCACAATTCTAAAACAGATGAAGCTCATTCACGATGGTGGATATTCACACGAGGAAAAGGAGTCCTTTAAAGAGATTATATTCTCCAACACAGTACAATCCATGCGGGTCATCTTGGAAGCCATGGAAGCCATGGAGATTTCCTTCGGAAATGCTGATGTTCAAAAGTACGCATCAATAGTTTCAAATCTTCCCAATCAAATAGAAGGTGAACACTTGCCGCCGGATGTGTCAATGGCTGTCAAAGCGCTTTGGGCAGACTCCGGTGTGCAGGCTTGCTTCAGTCGGTCCCGGGAATATCAATTAAACGATTCGGCAAAATAGTAAGTCGAGAGTCTCACCGTTCAACTCTAGTTACCTGTATGCGTCGAAATGTGACATAAGTCGTTAACCCAATGTTTCTGTTCTCAGTTACTTCGACTCCATCGATCGTATCTCTCAGGCAGACTACGTCCCAACTGATCAAGATGTGTTAAGATCACGTGTGAAGACAACCGGTATTACGGAGACAACATTCTTCATTGGTGAACTGACCTACCGAATGTTTGACGTCGGTGGTCAACGTTCAGAGCGAAAGAAGTGGATTCACTGCTTTGAAAATGTAACAGCCATCGTATTCCTGGTGGCCATCTCAGAATACGATCAACTGTTGCTGGAAGATGAGACGGTGGTATGTATTTGAAATCTTTGTATTTGGATGAAGTGATAGTTGTTAGAGGAGAGGGAGGGCATCCGTTGTTTTTTCTTTCATTTTGCTAATCTTTTGAAAATTTCTCTCGTTTAGAATCGTATGCAAGAAGCTCTGACATTATTCGATTCCATCTGTAACTCAAGATGGTTCGTCAAGACTTCGATCATTTTATTCTTGAATAAGATAGATCGTTTCATGGAGAAGTTACCAAGGTCTCCGATGAGCAACTTCTTCCCAGATTATGAAGGTGGTGATGATTACAATGCAGCATGCGATTACATACTTAATCGTTTCGTCTCACTAAACCAATCCGAAGTCAAGCAGATCTACACACATTTCACGTGCGCCACAGATACCCAACAGATCAAATTTGTCATGGCTGCCGTGAATGATATCATCATCCAGACAAACTTGAGAGAAGTTGGTTTACTATAAATTAGAGAAACTCTTGTTGAGAGAAAAAAATTTTATTTAATTTAAAATTAGAAAAAAAAAAAAAGGACACCTTTCTCGCATTCATCGTCATTAACCTTATACATATTTGTGGTTACCAACCGTATCAGCATCATTAAAAAGAAACTTTTTTTTAATTTTAATTCATTATGCATTAAGCGTAAAAAAACAACTCATTAAACACGCTTGGGTTTTTGATTTTCTCTTCTTTGTCTACAATCTTTAATATATACTTGTTACCTGGAAGTAAGGGATTCCTCTTTCCGAAGAAATTTGTATTTATAATTAAGACTAAAAAAAAAAAAAAAAGGAAAAAAAACTATTTTCAATCATTTTCTCACATTATCTTACAACATATGGAGTTGATTTCCTGCACATGTTCGTATTCTTTATTATTATCATTATTATCCTTTCTATTATATATTTTATTTCGTGATTTTTTATCCACAATTTTATTTACCATATACACCCTCGTACCCCAGCATACCTATGTAGTTAATATTTTATTGGCTAAAAATTTCCTTCCCGCAATGGTTACCACCACCAAGATTTATTCGGGGCGAATCATTCGCCGACGGATTCCTTGGGTGCGGTAATTAATTTAAGCTTTTTTGGTGATGAGAATTCGGAGATGTCAAGATTTTGTTACGTGTATATTAGGATTCTTGGTACAAGATCTGATGTATGCACGCTTAACTTATATTAAAGTTTAACTTCGTTTTCTTGTTACATCATCATTACTTCTAACAAACAATAAAACACAAATCCATCGAAATAGAAAGGTTAACTTGGGAATGTGAACACCAGACGTATTTATATGCGTATGTTATTTTTTGCAATGAATGAATGAATGAATCAAGTTTAGAAAATAATACTGTATACGTAGGCTGCACATATGACTCGGGTTTTTTTTTTGTTTTTTTTTTTTTTAGAAATAAATAGATATATTTTTTTTTATTTTATAATAAAAATTATCTTAAAAAAAATAACCAACTTGAAAATTGACTCGAGGGTTTTCATGGGCCCGAGCATTGATACGCCATCATGAAGTCATTTTATCATATAGGTGCCTTCATTAGACAATAATTACATAATAATTCTTGCAGCCTTTCACACACGATAAATAAAAAACCGTTTTACACCACTTTGTTTTTTTTTTTTCCAGAAGATACAAAAAAATGTCGAACACAAAGGATAATCTTACTTTCATGAAATCTTGGTAAATTGTAATACACATATGTACGTGTGTTTATTAACGAAGTGGTATTCATAATTGACGCGAGGTTTGGTTCAAAAAAGCCTTGAAAGTTCTGCTGCGTGCATCGTAAGTATGAAAATTTGAGTATCTATAGGTCTCTCGAATATAAAAAAGTACTAAACTTTTTTTTTAAAGAACTGTGCCGAGAATGCGAACGGTGAAGGATGCGCAAAATACTGTCGTATCAATGCTGGTAAATTTTCTGTTTATTGCGTGCGTGATTGACGTTACATTTAATTAATTAATTCACCTTCCCCTTTTATCGATCTATCAAGAACTGGCTTCGTGCACCGCAAAAATGATATCGATGCATGCCCCTCAATTGAATTCACTTGTTGATCTTACCCTTGCCTCTTCTGAGAAGTGTGTTGAGATGTGGTACGTATTTTTCCAGACGTTCTTTTTTATCACTACTGAAGTAAATTTTCTAATGCATTATGTATGACTGTCTGCAATTTATTAGTGGTCAGGTGAGTCTTACCAATAAGTATCACAACAATGTCGGAATGCGATTATAGAAATTAATGTTATTGATTTTCTAGCATAATAATGATCATTGCCAAGCTTGTGCACATGCCGCTCGTAATCTTTCTGAAAATTTACGTCGATTTCAAGAGAACATCACCGGTTGAACTGTTTTTCAAGAGATACCACTTTCATTTTCTCCTTTTCTAAACAAAATGTGTTATTTTTTATCAATTATATTGGTCTTGCAAACCGTAAGGTGTGCATTTGATTTCATATTTCGTTTGCGTTATTAATCTAGCTAAATTTCATGTAAATGGGAGAATAAATTCGTTCCGAAATGCATCTGTTATTTGCTCTTTTCTCAATTTGTCGACTGCGGATTTTTTTAAATGGTGTAACTTAAAAAATTCTTTTGATGGGTAAGAGATTCGGATACTCGCATCTATGTCTATGACGTAAGCACTTCTTGCACTTTGATTTTCCTTTTCGGCAGTTTTGGTACATTTCGTTCAAGAACCAAGTTTTTATCATTTTTCGAACCTGATGGATTTTGATAACACTACAAAAGAATACGTTCGATGGTTAAAGGAAAATTGTGCCACGTTCTCAAAAGTAAGATTTCATGGTGGTAAATAATCTCTCTAACCTTTGAATGCCTATAAGAATGCATCCCGTGCCTCTTAATCAAATATCGTGCGACTTCGTGGATGCCAAATAAACAGGTTCCACCTACGCAATCTCCAAAATTCTTCCTAATGAATCCTTTGCCATCATCCCCTTTCGCCTCGCCATAACCCACAAAACCGCGAAAAATCACCTGCCCTACTTATCGTCTTTAAGTTGTCGTGCCGCATTAGCAATCTTCTTGGTTCACGAGCGCTTAAAAGATTCCGATTCATTCTATCATCCGTATGTTAATGTTCTCCCAAAATTCATCCCCACTCCATTGTCATATAACGATCGAGAAATGGAATGGTTGAGAGGCACAAATCTGGATGGAGGGACAAAGGATAGGAAAGGATTGCTAAAAAGGGAATATGAACAAATTTTGAGTGCCATAGAGGATGAGGGGTTCAGATCGAAACTAACTTGGTAGGCTCGAAAGCGGTTTTTATTTTGACAAAGCTTGGTTCGGCCAATCTTATCTTTACTCTTTGTAGGGATTTGTACTTGTGGGCATGTAATGTGATTTCATCACGTTGCTTTCCCAATAAATTAATTGATCCTGATGGCGAAGAACAAAATGAGGCTTTATTTCCATTGGCTGATTCGTTTAATCATCGGCCGAGGCAGAGGGTCACTTGGAAGGTACAAGATGGGAATTCGTTACACCTAATTACAGAAGACGAAATCGAAATCGGTGAACAAATATTTAATAATTATGGTACAAAGGTACAGGAAGATCTGTTAAATATTCGTTAGTGGGTCAAAATTTTCACGTGATTAATCTTGTATGGACTTTGTTCGAAATAGTCTAACGAAGAATGTGGGTTTTTAATGAATATATCTCTTCTACTTGACCTTGTGCACCTTTATTCTCGACTGATGATAGTTGGTTATAACTCCCAGTACTAATAGGATACGGTTTCTGTATTCCTGATAATCCTGATGATTGGGTTGCGATCAAAGTAAACTTCACTCAAGATCCACTCAGGGATCAGAAACTCGCAGTCCTTTCACAACTGGGTCTCACGGAGCTTACTCATTTTATACGAAAGGATAGTATTCCATCTAATTTGTTTGCACAATTGAGAATTCTTGCAATGAATTCCGAGGAGATCAAAATTTTCCAGAAAGCAACGGTAAAGATACCGGTGGAAGACGAGATTTTCGATGTGACACGATCCGAAAGCAATCTGATGTCCGGAGATCCAGAAATTTTCGGATATAGATGTGAGATTGCAATGCTAGAGATATTTTCTTCTTTTCTAAGGAAAAAACTTGAGCTGATAATTGATAGAGATGATGAATTTTGGGATAGAGAGAAGGAAGAGGGGCTATCCGTAGAAGGATTAGATAAATTAAGGAACACCAAGATTTATATTGATGGTATGCGATACACAAGCAATTTAATTATTTTACTTTAAAGGCGGATTATATTATACGATTCTTATCACATCCTAACATGCGTGATTTAATAATATTCGAATGTAGGTCAGAAAGAAATTTTGAAAAGTACGCTGGAAACATTGGCTTTCCGGGAAATCGGTGTTTTGGAGAGCGCCTGTCAGAACTATCGTGATGAAAGGATTAGCTTTTCTTTTGCGTCGAACCATGTTATTCTAAATTACCAAAATTTGCGCGAACCTTCTGATGCTTATTTGGATGGAAATTCGGATTTATTTGTGACAAAAATGAAATCGTTGGAGTCAGTCATGATTACAGTCAGGCAAGTGATGTTGGATGATGAATTTTCAAAAGCCATGAGAGAGATATTTGACGAAGAATCGTTGATGGAAGAAGAGGATGTCGTGTTGATGTTGTATTTGATCTGTGAAGGTGAGAGGGTTACAAGGAACAAGAAATCAAAATGGAAATTTTTCATGGAAGTTGTCAAGGAATACAAAGATATTTCTATGTGAGTGTAGACGTATTATTTATAATTAAATTTTTTATAACTATGAATTCTAATTACAATTTGTTGACCTCTTAAAACCAGATCTCAGGATGAAGAAAAGATCCAGGAAATAAGCGAACTTTACAATGATCTGAATTCATTAATATCATCAAGTCCAAGGTGTTCAAAGATATTCACCGAAAGCATGTTCAACGTGAACAGATTGATTTGGGCGACAAGTATTTTTGAAAGGTGTTGCGTCAATTATTTCGATCAAGACGGGAAAGCGAGTGTTGGGATTCTGCCTTTTGTCATTAAAAACGAGGTTTAAAATAATAAGCAAACTTTTCTCAATATGTAAAAATACATATGAAAACAAGAAAATAAAAAAATTATACCAGCAATATACAAATTCATTTTAATAAAAGTACACCATCTTAAGTTTCTTGATCAAATAAAAACCACTATCAACATCATAATAAAAAATCTATCATTAAAAATGTCGATATGCTAAATAAATTTTTGAATTTACTAAATCCATTAATTAATTATTATATAAATTATATACAGTATATATTATTCTTTTTTTTTACTAGTTATATTATTTTTTTTAAAAAAACAAATTAATTGCATACAGTGTGGATATAAAAAAATGATAAAATAGGTAATCAAATAATAATATTTTTTTGAGTTTCATAATCAAGTGCTATTTAATTTATTTTTATACAAAATATTTTTATTTAAGCATTTTTTTTTTTAATACAGTATCTCTATTTTAAACAAGAAATAAAATATCATGTAATATTATAATTTTTAAAAAAAGAATAAAATATAGTCAAAATTCATAAAGCAATATAATAAATAATAACAACTTCAAAAAATTCTAGTATTCAAAATTATATAACTTTTTTAATTACAATAATAATATTTTAATAATAAATCAATTTTTATAAATATAAATTTTTTTAAAAAATAGAAAATAAATTTATAAATGATTAAATAATAATTGAAATTATATTATATATGTATATTAATAATATAAATTATTTTATTGTTAATTTAATTTCAAAATTCTTAAAAATAATTATATTGAAATTCAATTATTTTATATATTATAATAATAACTTAATTAATTATTTTTATTTATTATTAAAAATTTATTAATTTTAGTAATATACTGTATATAAATTATATGATATTTATACATGTTAACAAGATGATCTTTTTGTCTATTCAAGAATACTTTAATACAATAATATAAAAATTTATAATTGATTTTGTAATTTTTAAAAATTAATAACAAGTATTTATTTTTTATTTATTTTTTTAATTTTTAATTAGATTATAAGTTTTTATATTTATTAATCCAATTATAAACAATAATAATATAATTTATAATTTATAAATTAATAATATAGCAGTTGATATTTCCATATTCAAATTATAAGATATCTGTTGAATTCCAAATAATAACAATTAAATTAAATTAAAAATAATATCTGATTATGGTATTATTTCTTTAAAATATATTAATTCAATAAATATCAAAATTTTAATCCTTATAAAAGATATAATAGTACAATAATCATTTAATTGATATTATAATAATTGCTAAAAGTTGTAAGAAAAAAATATAAAAAATATATAGTTTCAAATAAAATAACTTGATAATTTTTTTTGTAATATATTATATATTTTTTAAAAAATCATTATGAAAACCTTATTCTTAATTATTTAATTAAATTACTTTTTTTTTTTACAAATAGATATTAAATATAAAATATTTATTAAGCTTTTATTTATTTATTATTATATTAATAATTTTTAATATATAGAGTAAATAAATAAATTATAATCTATTATAAATAAAAATATACATATAAATCTTTAAAAATCTTAATAAAAAAAATAATAGTTAGTTACTAGTAAAGATGAGTCCTTAAACTATTTAGCATATAAAATTTTGCAAATTAATTATGTCCCTTTTAAAGAGACATAATTATTTATTTATTACTTTAATAGGGACATAATTCAAAAAACATTTGGATCAAATGGCCTACATTGCAAAAAACCTTTATGAGTAGTTTTTTTTTGATCTTATATTTAAAAAAAAAACTTTTTTAATAGTGAGGAACATTTGAATTATGTTCTCACCTTTAATTTAGGGACCCATTTTTAACTATTAGTTATATTATTAATTATATATATACTATATAATTCATAAGTAATAATAGTAAAAAATAATATAGAGAAGATTACTATAAACTTTTGAAACTCCTATTTCATTTTCTTCAAGCTCTTTTATCTTTTCAAGCATTTAAACTTTTTTTTTATTTTTCTGATGAATTCTGCATATTTTAGTTTGATCTTGAATTTTTAATTATATTTATAATTCTAAAAATTGGAATCAAACAGAATTGCAGGAAATCATATGAGGTTTGAAACATTATTAAAAATGATAGTGGAGTATATCCTACCTATTAAATTTAATATAAACTTGAGAATCGAATACAGAATTGAAGAGAATCATTAGGATCCTTAATTATATCAAAATTCCTAAATAATAATTGGCTCGAAATTTGGATTGGTTGATTTGCAAGTAACAAAAAATATAAACAAAACATATAAATTTTATATGTTTTATTTTATGTAATTTATATCTGATGATGTAATTAATAATAACAGAAAAAGCAAGGCAATAAGATATATTCTTTAATAAAAAAAGTGGTTTGATACTTTCTTCTCTCTTCTTGAACTGGTTTTGTTTCTCTTTAAAATTAAAGAAAGATCTTATTTCAATTCAATAATAAACTAGTTCTGCTATTGATTATTATGAAAATGATTAGAGAAAGAAATCTTGAAACTATCTATTAGTTAAATAAAATCATAAATTCTTGAAAAAATAATTAAAAAAAATTGTTAATTAAAATACTAATCCTTTTTAAAGATTAAAAATCTTCAAATATAAAGCTTTAAAAAATACTTTTTTGAAAGTATTTAAATATTCTTGGTCAGCTGGTTGTAATATTTTGGACTAATAAAATATTACAAAATAAAATAGAGCAATTTTTTTAATTCTTTATAATTATATTTAGAAGTTATAAGCTTAAGACAACTATATTGTATAGCAATACAAAGTTTAACTTTATTATAGTATTTTCAATATAAATGTATAAATGTTTTCTAACAAATAAAATTAATAAACTTATGGCATGCAGCCTGATTTGAAATAATAATAATAATAATAATAATAATAATAAAATAATTTTGTAATATAAAATATATATATATATTAAATAAAGTATATGTTCTATTAGTTGATAAAAAAAAAGCAATATAATATATAATATAATATTATATTAAAATTATTTTATTTTATTTTACAGAATATTTATTAACAAGTTATTTATAAACTTTTATATAGTTTTTAAACTTTAATATTAAGATTATTATATTATACTAGTTTGAAATCTGATTATTTGGCAATATGTCATTTATCAATTATTTAGTATACAATAAATAATTCATCAAGTATTTGTTAAATATTCGTTAACAATTCAACAATTATTGCTAAATTGGAATATGCCAAATTATTGCTAAATATTTGATGAATGCTTAATAAATTATTTATCATATGCCAAATAGTTGACAAGTGATATACTGCTGAATAATTGGATTTTAACTAGTATTATCTATATAATTTAGTTATTATTAATTATTTTATTATAAAAAAATAGATTTATTAAACTATTACTATATGATATTAATTTTTTTTTTAATGTTAAGGTAAGATACTTTTCATGATCTTTATTAATAGAGTAAATATATAATGTTACATAATCAATATTGAGATATAAGATACAGTCAAACCTCTTTATACTGATATTTTTTATACCGATACCTATTAAAATCTCACTATACCGATATTTTCTCAAA